TCTTAGAGTTACTCGTGATGAAATCCATGAAGTAATCTCTTTGAGTGTGGGTTTCTCAAATACTTAAATCTCTATTAAGTACTCATGAATGTTAGTTGTAATCTCCATGATACGTCTAATACCTATAGACAATCTACTAACACTTCATGATAATATTATCTCAATACTTACTTCCAAGAATATGATCAATTGTGGAGGTTTAAGTAAATTAATACTCGAAAAGTGGGGATCTAAATATGAAAAAACGAAACACATTAATAAATTAATTTTAAATGGTAACACTTCTGAAAATAAATAATTCTCCATTATTTAATCACCAAAACAATTAAAAAATTTATTCATTGTTATACATGTTTCAACTAATCAACTAAATAAAAAACTCAATATTATCTCTCATGCCTATGCTCCTAACATGCACACTATGTCTTTCCTATGTCAGCCCCTTTGTAAAAGGATCAACCAGGTTTCCTCGGATGATACTCACTTTACAATAAGATCTTCATCCTCAACTCTGTCTCGAATGTAATGAAACTTCCTCTTTATATGCCTTGATCTTTTGCGATCCCTAGGTTCTTTAGTCAGAGTGACTGCGCATTCCTTATTACATAATATCTCTACGGGATCTTTATTGCTTGGAATGGCTCAAAGATCACCAATGAAGTTCTTGATATAGGTAGCGTCCTTAGACACCTTACTAGCAACAATATATCCAAACCCGCATGTAGAGTTTAGCACCGTTTCCTATTTGGAGCTTATCCATGTCACCGCACTACCATTTAACACGGATACCCATCCAGACTGTGACTTGGATTTGTCTCTATCTATTTGGAAAATCGCATTACTATATCCCTTCACAACTAACTCTTTTTTCACCCCCATACACAAGCAACATATCTTTTGTATTTCTTAAATACTTAAGAATGTTCTTGACATTTGTCCAACGACCTAGTCTAGGGTTTTATCAGATATCGACTCATCATGCTTAAAGAATATGAGACATTAGGACAAGTACATGCTATAGCGTACATGAGTGATCCTATAGCCGAAACATGTGGGACTCGACTCATTCTATCCTATTCATCACTAGAACCTTGATATTGAGACTTACTCAATTTAACGCTATGATGCATAGGAACATTTCCTTTCTTTGAATTTTCCATATTGAATTTTTTCAATACTTTAACCATATATGTACTTTGACTAAGTCCTATTACATGCCTAGATCTATCTCTATAGATTCTTATACCAAGTATGTACGTCGCTTCTCCCAAATCCTTCATAGCGAAACATTTCCCGAGCCCAGGTTTTACACTTTGCAACTCAGGGACAACGTTTCCTATAAGTAGTATGTCATCTACATACAAAACTAGGAAGACAACAACCCTCCCACTAGCTTTGACGTATACGCAGGACTCATCTAGACATATATAAAAACCATAATCTTTGACTTTTTCATGGAAGCATGGATTCCTGATTTGTAATGCTTGTTTAAGTTCAAAGATGGACCTTTCAATCTTGCACACTCTATTTGGATACTTGGCATGTTCATAACCTTCAGGTTGTGCCATATACATATCCTCTGAAAGTTTCCTGTTAAGGAAAGCGGTTTTAACATTCATTTTCCATACCTCATAATCATAAAGGACGACTATGGAAAGTAGTATCCTAATAGACTATATCTTAGCTACTGGCAAGGTTGTATATAACGTAAGACGAGACTTGGCGGAAATGTCAAGCCTCAAGTTTTTACGAGCCTTGGCGAGCCACATCGTTTGTAAGGCGTGACTTAAGGTGGTAATTTTGTATATAATTGATAATTTTTATATGTATTTTCAACTATTTTTCATTTTTATATACATATACGACTTAAGGCAGCAAGTTGTCAAAGCTTGACGGCAAGTACAACACTCGGAGCCATGGCACGCCATAGCGAAGCCATGACGAGCCTTTTAGAACCTTGGCTACTGGTGATAACGTTTCCTCATAATCAATTCTTTGAGTTTGAGTGAAACCTTTTGCCACCAAACTAGCCTTGAATGTATGCACACTCCCATCTATGTCGGTCTTCTTCTTAAAGATCCATTTACAACCTACTGTCTTAAGACCATGTGTTGGATCAACTCAATTCTAAAGGTTACAAGTCTAAAATGTAGCTGAACAGATCACTACTCCAATTGTTGACTCTATCGGTCACGTATACAATAAACAGTGACCTAAACTCAAACTACTACTCAAAATACCCAAAATACCCCTAAGTCAAACTTGGTCAAACCCCTGGTCAAAGGTCAAAAGTCAAAAGTCAAAAAGTCAGCATAGACTGTGTACGACCTGCGTACTCAGTCACTACGCTTAACGTAGTGCACCCTTGGCCAAGTTACGATGCATTAACCAGGTACGCGCAATGTACCACTAGGTACGCTCATCGTACTCAGCTGGTTCTCTTTTTCTCTATTAAGTGCTTATTTCATTAAGATCTCACATCTAAAGCTCAAATCTAGTCCCAACAAACATTTGAAGTCATAAAGTTTCCAACTTTATGACTTTCCATGACTAGAAGGAGTCTAAAAACCAAAACCCTAACTTAATACACAACCAAAGCATTATAATTGTTACATGGAGGGAAGAAAAGCACCAAGATCACATTTTTGATTCCTAATACTCAAAAACATCTAAAAAAGGACAAATCTTATGATTTAGAGTAATCCATACTCATGAACACCAAGATTATGGGACTAAATTGCATAAAGACTTAAGAACTATCAAGATCCAAGGAAAACATTCATCTAGATCCAAGCTTTATACCTTCAAGGGATGCTTGAGGGTGAGACACTTTTGTATCTAGGTTGCCTTGAGCTTCCAAGATGATCTACCACCATCTTCCCCATTCACAAGTAGAAGAATACACTCTTATCAATCTCAAAATCACACACAAGGAACTAGGGTTTGCAAGGGACGTTTTTGGGAGATAGAGGGTGATGAAGGAAAGGGTTTTGAGGAGATAAGGATGCTTAAATACTGCTCAAACCCTAAAAATTAGGGTTTGCTCACCTGACACGTACGCCCAGCGTACCGATGAGTACGCCCATCGTACTCACTTAAGTGTGCGTCCCACTTTAAAGAGCTACGCCAAGCGTACGCCCCAAGTAAGCTTAGCGTAAGGACCTCTTTTGCAACATATTTTATCTTTTGGGTCAAAAAGGAAATTACCTAATATCTGGGTGTTACAAACTTAACGTATTTTGGTTAAGTAACGAAAGTTTGGGATTTTATATTGATTAAATAAAGTTTTTAAAAGTTTAAATTTATTGTAATTTTTGGGACGTTACAAGTTGGAGCTTGGGTGCGTTCTCATTACGACTCATGTGCGACTTGATATGAGTTCCTCAATACATGACCTTGATGTATTAAATCTTGCTTAGTTCGTATGTGTGTTATTAGGTATGTATGATTAGTACTAGATTGTATGGTTTGTCTGGTTGTTTATGATATGTTGGGATGAAGGCCATAAGGCTAAGTATGTTGATAGAAGGCAGATGTACCAAGTCATGGGACCGAAAGTGGTGGCACTGAGTCCGTGGACCGAAGGTAGTAATACCGAGTCCTTATGGTATGGTTATGTATTGATGTGTTCTTGAACTTGCATACATTGTATGAATGTGTTTGCTTATATGTAAAGTATGTTTAGATTATTACTTGTTGGTATGATAGATGTACCTGGATTATAGGAGTAAGATATTTTACCTCGATTTTATATTGTGTTGGAATTCACTAAACTTCATGCTTACCATTTCCCTTTTAAACAACTATTTCAGGAGTTGTAGGTACAAGTAACGGAAAAGACAAGGTTTGACTGTACATGTGACACAATTGGAAGATGTTGATCCTTGTCTTGAAAACTAATTATTGTTTTTATTTTCGATTTTAATTTTTGGTTTGCGAAATTAAATGAAAATTGTCAGACAATTTATTTATGTTTGAACTTAACGTATTTTGGGTAAGTAACGAAAATTAAGGATTTTATACTGAATAAATAAAGTTTTTAAAAGTTTAAATTTCTTGTAATTTTTAGGATGTTACAACGGAGCTTCGACACTTGCTTCTTTTCCTTAAAGTTATCCTTCTGAAACCTCCAGAGCTTTGCTAACACGATTACAGAACAAGAAATTGAATCACGAGGGACCGAGATCTAAGATTCTTGAAAGTGAAAAGGTACAAGGAAGAAGTGAGGGGTGACCCTCTATTTATAGGACTGGAATTACACTGGATGCGCGACATCCATAGATGGTCACACCGCGCCCCTGCAGCAGACCTGCTCCTTCGACATTAATGCAGGCAAGTGGCATTTAATCTAGGTAGTTGGGTGGTTGGCGGCATTATGAGCGGCCAATTGCCTTTTAATTTGTCAGTATTCTGTTATTTTCTCAATAACTTCAAAAAATCATAACTTTATCATATGGTCTTCGATTTCGACGTTCTTTATATCAACGGGTTTATAATTCCTTCTACTACAACTTTCATGATTAACAAATTGGTTGAAACGTAATAGATTTTTACTGAATATTTTGAAGGACTAAAGCTTATTCTTTAATAATCTTAAAGTGAAAACATGATGTTACAACCCATCAATGTTATATCTTTTAATAACACAATATTATATAGGGCATTACAAGTAGCCTAACAAGGTTATACAAACAATCAGCTGAATACATGAGGGTTGTACATACTAAATACATACACTAACGTTATCTCCATCAATTAGCAAAGACTTAAAAACATTTTATAGGCCTATATAATTCGTGTAGAGAGTGCCAGAATGAATTTTAATTTAATTTTAAATGTTTTGTCCAATATATAAGTTATACATATGTTCAATTACTAAAATCCAAATGTAATTATCTGAATAACAGAAATGCTTTCAAAATTGATAGTATATTTGGTTGATTATGATCCATAGTGGTCCTCCAAATAACCTTCCAATTAACCTCAAGAAGAGGTTAGAGGTTTGGTACTTCAAATAAGGTGGCCCGAATTCATTTTGTACAATAGCACATTCACATGGATCGTTGATATATCCGTAAGTCACATAAAAAGATCGACGAGTTTACATAAAGAGATCACCTACACAATGATTGCTGCCATTAATGTCACCGTGGTTAAGGTGTATAGTCCAATAGTGACAACAAACTTCGCTACACCACATACAACTTTTCAAACGAGAATAACCGAGATTAATGATCTTAATTGCTAATTAGCCACACCTAAGTGCTATTCAAAAGATGAACAATCTAACTGATTTTGATGCTTGTAAAATCTTAAGCCCATTTCGCCATTACAGACATCCCTCCAGCTCCAAGAAACACTGCAACATACGACTTAATTTGGAGCTTAATGCTCCCTTGTAGCTTCGGACCCATAAAATCAGACGCAAGAAGATCCACCAAAGCCATGTAGATGAGGAGACCAGCTGAGGAAGCATTGAGCAGCCCCACAACGATTAATGAGCTTGGGCTATTCTCTTTGTATGTATTCGACAACCCGATCCCCAATGCAATCCCAAAAGGAGTCGTCATTGAGAAGAAAAATACCATTACGAGTTTCTTCATCGTTTTATATTCGGCCTAGTAAAACGTGGATTATCATAAATATATAGTTATGAAAGTTTATAATAGTAACAGGGTTGAAAGATTTATGGACCTGAAGGATGCAACCACCAAGGCCCATGCCTTCAAACAGCTGGTGGAAACAAAGGGCTGCAACCAATGGTTTGATGGTGCAAATGTCATTCGAAGCTCCAACACCTAACCCGATTATTATCGAGTGGACCACTATTCCAAGCTCGAGTACCTATATCCATGAATTTAAAAATAGAAATATTCTAAATTTGGTATAGAGAACAAATCATAAAATATAGTAGCGTATTTTTCTTAAGAACGTATTTTATTTGCTACTATATATAGTAGTAAAATTTGGAAAATGTATACTACTTTTTACCTATGAGTAATTTACTTACAAGTTTTTAAATTTGTTGTTATTTAACGTGTAGAAATAACATGTTATTGAAAAGGTGTAAAATGTAGATGTAACATGAAACTTGTAAGTATTTTGCAATTAGTTTCATGTTATATATTACAATATCTGTAAAAGAAATGTAATTAGTAGGCTGTTGTTTTATAACTAAAAATAAATACGTTAACATTATGAGTAAAAAAAATATGTTGCCCATTTTGAAGGATTGATCATAATGAAAGTAGAGTATATAGTTATTCTTTGGAGTTCCCACTTATTAACTTAGGAATATGATCATGGAAGGCACCAGTTGTTGGAAATGTTCTATCTACTAAGTAGTTCAATTATAAAAAACAGAAAGGATAACACTCTACTCTCAACTATGTAATTAGGTTAATTTACAACCACACAACAGTAGAAAAAAAAAATTCATTAATATATATTTCTTTAATTTAAAAAAAAAAAAGAACAACAAAAACTTCAAATAGAAAAAAGCAATGAAAGGGGAATTAACGATGGCAAGATTCGAATGTGCATGAGAAATAAGACTAACCATGGCAACAACGCGATACCGTAGCAGTTGTGTTCCGATTGAGCCCCTTTGACCATGCTGGTGGTGTCCATGGAAATGTCCACCGCCACTCTCCACCACCGGCATCTCATGGTCTCCGGCAACCACCACCTTATCAGCTTCGGCCGAGACTGAGTTATTCGTCTTAGTATACATACTGGTAGCCATGGAATCCACCATGAGTGTGAAAATCGCAGACAACATAGCAACAAACCCCGTGAACGGGAACTTGTGCCATGGGTTCTCAGCCAAGCAACTGGACCTCAACATGCCGAAAGAATCCGGCAAGACGTGCATGAATCCGGTGGCCAGAATGATGCCGGAAGCGAAAGCTTTGATGATGATGAAAAGGCTTCGGTCAGGGCTGAGGGCGGGAACAGAGCGGGTGACAAGAGGGAGAGAGACTCCGATGATGCTGGTGATGAGGATTGAAGCAATGCCAATGAGTTTTAATGGCAGAGCTTTGGTTTTATTGTTGCAGGAGTTGTTGGTTTCTTCCTTGCACTGAGCTAGGGTTCCGGTGGAGAAGAAAGATGTGAGGAAGAATATGATAGAGACTAGTTTTAGAATGTTCGTGTTGCAGGCTTCCATGGCTACTTTCTTAATGTGCTTGGGTCTCTTTGAGGTTTCAATATCATATATAGAAACTGGAATAGTACTTCATTATTGTTACAATATTATTATAAATATTTGTTTAGGGCAGATCCAACCCAAACCGGCAAAACAGCAATATGAGATTAAGCTCCAACCGCGCACGGCATCCAACACACCAAAATGGTGTCTCACTCTTTATCACCGGCAAAATGGTGATAAAGCAATTCCAGTGGGATATTTTTTTTACCCACCAAAATCCAAATCTTTGTGTATATTCCTTAGAAAAATCATATATTTTTTCGTTTTTATGTTTGAAACTTAAACTTGTATTTTTTTCTTAGGAAAACCATAATTTAACAAATTTATTGTTATATCATTAATAGAGCTGGTTATCGACAAGTATATTGAATTTATTCCATAAAAGACTTACAATTTGTCTTTTTTTTTTCCGTACTTTTATACCTGATTTTTATTCTCAAAATAACTTCAACTTTAACATATTTTATATCCATGGATTCTTATTCATGTTTATTAGTCTACATATATTAACTTATTTTGTTGCGGCCCTTATTCCTTTGTATATTCGGCCCATATGTTGTACGTGTGTATATATATCTCTTGTATATTAATAGAATGACAATGATTTATTCCCACTCATGTGGTATCAGAACGGTTTTAAAATAAAAATCCTTGATTTCTCTCTTCTTCCCGCTCCATTCTCTCCATTCTCTATTTGTTCCTTTTGTAGCCAACCCTAGTTCATCCGTCTTCTTCCCCTTTCCACCATGGTTATTGGTAAAGACACCACTGGAAATCCTTTCAGCATTGCCAACATCCACATATACGTACCACATACTCTGGGCTTTGAAGAACTCAATTACAATGCAAGACACTATTTGTTTTAAGCTTGTTGTATTAGCTTCGATGTTCACCACCATCTCGCAGAAACAACCCCCTCTCAGCCCTCCACAGAATGGAAGAAACTTGATTCCTTTTTCAAGCTTTGGTTGTACGATACAATCAAAACATACCTACTCTAAATGGTTCTGAAGAAAGGTGCCTCTACACACAAAATTTGGCTTAGTCTCGAAAACCTCTTTCGAGACAACAAGGATGCTTGTGGTATTCAACTAGATCAAGAACTCCGTTCCATTGAAATCGGTGACATGACGATCACCAAATACTTTAAGAAGATCAAATTCATCTTTGTTATCCTTGCTAACATCGAGCAACCGGTTTCGTAAAAGAACTTGGTGACTTATATGCTCAACGGCCTTGGGGATAAGTTCGATCAAGCTTCAAGCCCGATCCATGCTTTTACTTGAAGAAAACCTCCTTGCTCGCTTTCGCACCATTCATGGAACTCATCAAAATAATGCTTCTGACCCGAAAAACCCTCTATATCGAACCCAGAGATCAGCCTTGTAATGCCAACTCCTTACGAAATGATAGCCATAACAATTCTCAGTGTGGCAGCAATGACCAAAATGAACGTCGTAGTGGCGACGATGACCGAAATGACCGTCGTGGAGGTAGCCATTTTGAATTGTCGTGGAAGTGGGGGAGAGACGTCAGTAATTTGTTCCCATACATCCTCCAAATCCTCCTGATTCATGGTATCCATGGGGTATATCTCCACCTTGGCCTACTACTTTTATGCCTTGGATCCAATCGGCCTATCAGGGGTGGCTTACAACAACACAACAACAGTGTGCCTCAAGCCACCACGTCCTCCAGGAAATTGGACTCCCAACAGGAACACCGAGCATTCTCGCCAACAACAATCTGCCCAGCAACTTGCTGCCTTCCATGCTACTTGGTCCAATTCAGAAACCACTAATAAACCTACCTCGATTCTTAAAGCATTTCAAACCATGAACCTCCAATTCCCAATAAACTTCGGTTGGTTTATGGATACATGTGCAACAAACTATCTCTTGGCAGGTACGAGCAATCTAAAAACCATCGGTTGGTTTATGAACCTGCAATTCCTATTTTTTTTATTTTATAAAGTTGTGAACTCTCCTTTTGATTTAATACACTCAGATGTTTGGACATCACTACTTCATAGCCTTAGTGGTCTCAAGTATTATGTTTTATTTTTAGATCACTACTCTCATTTTCTATGGGTATACCCTCTTTGGAGAAAATGTGACACCATCTCAAAAGTTATACATTTTCAATCATTTATTTGTAACCAATTTAACCATGACATCCGTGCTTTCCAATGTGACCATGGGGGAGAATTTTATAATGATGCACTTCACAACATCTTTGACAAAAATGATATACATATCTATTTCTCTTGCCCAAAGACATCTCAACAAAATGGAAAATCTGAATGCATAATTCGCACCATAAACAACCACGTTCGATCTCTTCTTTTTCAATCCCATCTTCCACCTATATATTGGGTCGAAGCTCTCCACATAGCAACTCACATTCTAAACCGTATACCCTCCAAAACCATTAACAACGATACCCCATAATCTAAACTCTACCAAAAACAATAAACCTATGATCATTTACGCATGTTTGGATGTTTATGTTACCCATATCTCCACCCTTCACACAAACTTGTTCCAAGATCCACTCTGTGTGTTTTCCTTGGATATCTCGACAACCACTATGGTTTCTGATATTTGGATCTCCACCACAAAAAGATAATCATATATCGGCACGTCACATTCGATGAGAATGTATTTGCTTTCCCCTCTATGACACCAAACTCACCTCTCTCATATAGTTTTCTTGACATGTATATCAACCCCATTGCCTCACCTTCTTCAATCAAAAACTCTTGCTACCGTTAATCTCGACACCCCACAGCAGCAGTCACAGCCTACGCTGCCACTTCCACTCCGACCACCTCTCCTCCTCTGAAAACCCCCTCCTTGACTGTACTCCCTTTGTTGGTAGCCTCCTCATCGACTAATCACCTCCCCCGACACTGCAACCCTACTTTCCGCTCCTCTACCCACTCACATAATGTCTACTCGATCTCGTTATGGCATTGTAAAACCCGTCAACCGCCTCAGGCTTCACACTTCTACCTCATCTCTTATACCTATAACACACCTTCAAGCTCTAAAAGACCCACATTGGAATTCTTCCATGAATGATGAATATAATGTTCTAGGAAAAAAATGACACGTGGGTTCTCGTACCTTGCTTGCTAGGTGTTAATGTTGTTTGCTCCACGTGGCTATTCAAACATAAATTTAATGTTTACGGTTCTCTTAGCACGTACAAAGCAAGAGTAGTGGAAAATGGAAAAAGTCAACAATGGGGGATCGAATGTGAGAAAACATTTAGTCATATTGTAAATCCTGCTACCATACACATCGTTCTCAGTCTTGTGATTTCCCAAAAATGGCATATTCATCAACTAGACATGAAAAATGCATTTTTACACGAGCACTTATCCGAGACTGTCTACATGCATCAGCCACCTGGTTACACTGACCCCCACAAATGCACCATGTCTGTCACCTTCAAAAATCCCTATACGGCCTTAAGCAGGCCCCACGCACTTGGTTTTACCAATTTGTCGGTCATGTTATTCTCCTTGAGTTCCATCATAGCAAATATGATTCATTTCTCTTTGTTCTTAAAAAAGGAGAACACCTGACATATTTAATTATATATGTGGATGACATCATCCTCACAACCTCCACCACTTGCCTTCTTCAACAACTTATTTCTCTTCTTAGTGCAGAATTCTCTATGTCAGATCTTGGCGCATTGAACTATTTTCTAGGAACTTCTGTCACTCGATCCACCACAGACATGTTTCTCTCCCAACAAAAGTATGCTCATGAGATTTTCAAGGGTGGTCACATGTCCAACTCTAATCCATTTCACACACTAGATGATCCGAATTTGATCCGACCTCAAAGCTAGCTACTAGAGAGAAGCCAACTTCAGACCCAACTTTATTTGTAATATCAGAGAACTTCATTTCCATCTTCGATTTGATACCTCGGTGTACTGCGAAAACATTAGCTCTATTGACATGATGGCCAATATTGTTTAACATCATTGAACTAAGAACATTGAGCTTGACATTTATTTTGTTTGGGATAAAGTCTTCATTGGCCATGTTCGAGTTATCCACGACCCCTATCGATATCAGTGTGCATACATTTTCACCAAAGGACTACCGTTCCTATTGTTCTCCAATTTTAGATCCATCTTGAGTATCTATCAGCCTTATGATTAAACTGCAGAGGCATATTATTCTACATATATTAACTTATTGTGTAGCCCTTTAGGCCCTTTTTCCTTTGTATATTCGACCCATATGTTGTACGTCTGTGTACATATATCTTGTATATCCCATACTAGAATGACAAGGATTCATTCCCACTGATAATTTCAACTATAACTTTCATTTAGAATGTTACTGCTAAAAATATATAGATCTCAAACTTAAGGTGGTATACCCTCTTCTTACAACAAGTAACTGAGATACCATTTTCAAATTGCCATATCTTCTTCATCTCAACTCCAAATGAGTTGAATCTTTTTTACAATGCTTCATTTTGTCTTGACTTCACATCATGGTAAATAAATCCATGTTCCATACACTAGAATCACACTTTAACTAGTAATACTCGAGCATCTTACTATACATTTCGAATATACGTATATGTGTTTTGGTTTTGTGTTTCTGACACCTTTATATGTATTGAACCATACACAGACAAAATTTTATGATGTAAATCATACACCATAATCCATTTACAAGTTTACATCAACTTTATCTTGTTTTTCACATTATAGCAACTTACTTTGTTTATTTTGCCAACTATAACAACCTACTTTGCTATTTCTTTGCATTCATGTCGAAGTGATGAACCTTTTGCACCATTTCACTTCTTATACATATTATAACATGTCTAGTATAGTTTCCACCATAATATAACACATAAGGCATACTTGACATAATTTCTCACATTTTGTCCCATTTTGAGTAACTATAAGCATATACTTAGTCATTTTCACAATTTCCTTGCATATGTATAGTTGTAAACATAAATATTTCCAGTGGCGGAAGACAATAGGGGCTGGTGGAGGCCAAGGCC